CGCTCCGCAATATTATATTACGGCGATGTTACACCTTGTAGTATTATACGTGAAATTATTATAAGATAATTAACATCAGTTCAAGGACAAGATTATTTGGAGATTATAAGTAATATGCTATTTCAAACAAGTGATATGTAAATTCGTGAAGGTGAGAGGGTAAGGGAATCGAGGAAAATGAGTTTCGTCAAAGTTTGACAATTTGGGATAAAATACAGTCCAAGCAATAATACCCCGTATGGACTAGTACCATAAAACGTACCACATGACCATGATAGTAAGGTGTATAAGGTGTGTTAAAAGTGAGTAGTATTTTAAGAAATTTGAAATAATTCTTAATTATGGGGATTGGTTAATTATTGATTAGTGGGTGATTAACAAGTTAATTAAGGAATTTTTATGGATAGGCTTAATCAAGACTTTTGGATAAGTATTGATGTTTAGCTTAAATTATATATATTTCTATGTATATCGTCTCATATTTTACTCTTGTTTCGTGAAATTGGGATGTTAAATGCTATGATTTATATTGATTTGAAGTGTTTTTGCTTGTAGGAACGATTGGGGAGCAAGTGGGGGCGAAACATGCAAGATTTGAGCTGAAACGAACAAAACCGGGAAAAAGGCCATTTAGGCGCCACAGGCAGCGCCTGGCGCCACCTGTGGCGCTGAAAACAGTGTTGAAAAAATGGGGGCGCTATGGAGGGCACCTGGCGCCGAGCTGGGCGCCAATGACGCGGATTTCGTCTTATTTTACCCGGGACACGGTTTATTCGGCCCTAGACCTATCCAACACGTATAAAAGGAAGACTAAGCCTAATTTTGAGGGGAGAGACGCTCTTTGGAGGAAAAAATACACACAAGAACATCAAGGAGCAAGAACATCTCAGAATTCTTCATCTTTTCTAGTATTTTCAATTATTCAACACTTATGCAATTGTTTGATTACATCATGAGTGGCTAAACACCCATTGTTCTAGGGTTGTGATTTAGCCATGAATATTGTTGTTTGATATTAACTTGACCTTGATTATAATTCACCAATATATGGTTGTTTCTTCAATCTGTGTTTAATTGCTTAATTGTCTGGCCAGCAGTTAGGTTCTATTTACTATCTATGCTATGCTTGGGAAAGCCGTGTTTAGATTAGAGAAGAATTGAAGAGAGCATCATCTTAACCCTTAGGGGGAGCGGATTTGTGGTTAGGATAGGANTGCTATCCTGTGTAGTCTAGAACTTGCCCCATGTGTTAATTGAAGCGAAATTGTAAGTTGTGCTAATCTAGGAGATGACGTAGGCATTTTATTGCTTGATCATGGATGTGCTTGTCACATAAAAATAAAATTTTTCGTTGCTAGCCCCTTTGAGCCTATAGACCTTTCTTTTGGCACCCACATTACAAGCCATACCCCCATTTTGTTCTTAATTTGATATTGATTGAACCTGTACCTCCTAAGGCACTTAGTCGCTAAAAGAAGTAAGGTGAGAGATTGGGGAGTATCTTTTGAGTGGAACCATGGAAGGGCCCGTTGGTGCACTAAAGTTGAAATCAAAAGACACTAGCCGATGAACTTTAATGTATGGAGTGTGTGAAGAAAAAAGAGAAAGAAAAAGAAAAATTGAAAGAAAAGGAAAAAAAATAATAATGAAAGGATGTAGAAAAATAAACACCTCCAATTCTTATTGATTTGTGCTAGTGAAAAATAGATAAGTGCTTAATTGGAAAGAGGGCTATGTTTTATATGGCAAGTGATTTGGTTGAGAAGAATATGAGTTTGAATTATAAATGTAGTGTATTAAAGTGCTTAGGAGGGTTAGTCACTAATTCTAAATATATCCTACCCGTCCCTTAGCCTACATTACAACCTTAAAAGTCCTAATTGATCCTAGATTTGGCTAGCTTAAATTAGTAGAGATATACACTACGGGCAAGCTTATGGTACGACCACGGGATGCATATGAATTTTTTGTGAGAGTGAGCGAATTTTGTTCAATTGTGTGATGTCCTTAATCTATATTCAAAAGCATATTTGAATGTGTGAACCAATTTATATTCACTCTTTTGTTTGTTGGTGAGGGCACATGATCTCATGAATGATTGGTAATGTTGTAAACTTTCTTGTTGCGTAAGTGCATGAATTGAGGGTGCTTAGTGGTTGCAGGTTGACTTTTGAGGTTGGGTGGTGACGAATGGGTTGTTGGAATTCATTGAATTGAAATATTATACTTGGGTATGCTTAAACGGGAAGAATGTGAATTTTGTGTGTTCATGCTTGTGTGCCGGTGTTGATCATAGTCAAGGGTATAATGTGCGGTTAAAAGTTAAGGCGCTCCTCTATGATTGAACTTTGTACGTAGTTGGGGGTTTATTAGATTGTCCCATTTCTCGAGGACGAGCAAGGGTCTAAGTGTGGGGTGTTGATGTTTAGCTTAAAGTATATATATATATATATTTTTATGTATATCGCCTCATATTTTACTCTTATTTCGTGAAATTGGGATGTTAAATGCTATGATTTATATTGATTTGAAGTATTTTTGCTTGTAGGAATGATTCGAGCAAGTGGGGGCGAAACGTGCAAGATTTGATCTAAAACGAACAAAACCGGGAAAAAGGCCATTTGGGCGTCACAGGCAGCGCCTAGCGCCACCTGTGGCGCTGAAAATAGTGTTGAAAATATGGGGGCGCTATGGAGGGCGCCTGGCACCGAGATGGGTGCCAATGACGCGGATTTCGTCCTATTTTACCCGGGACACAGTTTATTCGGCCCTAGACCTATCCAACACGTATAAAAGGAAGACTAAGCCTAATTTTGAGGGGAGAGACGCACTTTGGAGGAAAAAATACACACAAGAACATCAAGGATCAAGAACATCTCAGAATTCTTCATCTTTTCTAGTATTTTCAATTATTCAACACTTATGCAATTATTGATTACATCATGAGTGGCTAAACACCCATTGTTCTGGGATTGTGATTTAGCCATGAATATTGTTGTTTGATATTAACTTGACCTTGATTATTATTCACCAATATATGGTTGTTTCTTCAATTCTGTGTTTAATTGCTTAATTGTCTGGCCAGCAGTTAGGTTCTATTTACTATCTATGCTATGCTTGGGAAAGCCGTGTTTAGATTAGAGAAGAATTGAAGAGAGCATGATCTTAACCCTTACGGGGAGCGGATTTGTGGTTAGGATAGGAATATACCTAGTCACCGTGCTTAATTAAATATCATAATCTTAATGCGTTCTTAATAGATTGATTTCATAGGAATATAGGCGTTAATCTATTTTGAATAGGCGAGTAGTACTTCGGGAGAAGGCTATGAGAGAATTTATCGATTAATTAGCAACCATGAGTGAATTGTATGAGAGAGAGAGAGAGAGAGTTAACTAGAACACAATAGGATTGGTGAATCGATCACAACCCTGGAATACTTGTCTCTACTGAATACACAACAATCAATTCGCTACTTGATAATTTAGTTATTATTTAGAATCGTAGTAAAATATAATCATATTATTGGACTTTGATTTTAGCTGGATTGAAGAACAGTTTTAGTGATTTAGTGAGTAGTTTACACAAGTCTCTGTGGGTTCGACACTCAACTTATCATTATATTACTTGTCGACCACGTGTACTTGCGTGTGCATTGGAAGCAACAAGCTTTTGGCGCCGTTGCCGGGGACTTGAATATTAACTACTTATTAGTTTTTGCTTTAATTGTTTATTTCGTCGAGTCTAACGTTACTTGATTGTTGCTCAGATCTCAGGAACCTTGATTGAATGCGTAGGGTCAAAAGCCAGGACCGACTTGAAGGCTTTGATCCTGAACCTGAGAGAACATTTCACAGGAGGTTGAGGGAAGCAAGGGACACGAACAATATTCAGGCACTTGTTCAATTTCCTGTGGACATGGCAGAGGAGTAACACATAGCTGTTCAGGAGGTGGCGATGCCCAGCATTGCTAATGTCACCTCCAGTATCGTGAAGCCCAGAATCACTGGCACTTTGAGCTGAAACAGAGCATGATCCAGCTACTTCATGCAAACGGGCAATTTATGGGTCTTCTGCACGAGGATCCACAATAGCATATTCTGAACTTCTTGGAGATTAGGGATACTTACATCACTAACGGGGTCACTCCAGATTATGTGAGGCTCACACTTTTTCCATTCTCTCTGTTGGGCGAAGCTAAGCGATGGCTAAAGGCAGAACCAGCTAATTCTATTACATCATGGAATGATTTGGCAAGAAAATTTCTAGCAAGGTTCTTTCCTTCAGGCAAAACTGCAAAGATCAGAAGTGAGATAGTTGCCTTCAAACAGAAAGCGGGAGAATCTTTATACTCAGCTTGGGAAAGGTTCAAAGGGCTACTCAGAGACTATCCTCATCACAATTAGACGAATGAAGTGTTAGCTCACACTTTCATAGAAGGGTTACATTCTGAAACAAAGATTGTGGTAGATGCTGCAGCTGGGGGTCAAGTGTTGGAGAAAAGCTTTGACGAGATATATGCATTATTAAACAAATTCTCCAAGAACAATCCGGATTGGCAAGGAGAGATGGGCAGACACACAGTGCAAAAGTCTGCAGGGGTTCTTGAGTTAGATGTCGTCTCAGCGTTATCAGCGCAGATTTCTACACTGGCCAACTAAGTCGATCAGATGACCTTGAGTATCAACAAGCAACAAGTACAACCCGTACAACAGGTTCAAGCTTTTTGTGAAATATGTGGAGAGGGGCACACGAGCGACATATGCCCCACTAACCCAGAATCTGTCTGCTTTATGGATAATTCAAATAGAGGCCAAACAAACCAATATGGAAAGACTTACAATCCCAACTGGAGGAACCACCCAAACTTCTCTTGGGGTGGAAACCAAGGTACTCAGAATCAATACAGGCCTCAAGCACCTCAACATCAATATACACCACCTCAGGTTGAACAACAAGCAAATTCTACAAGTCACTTTGAAGACATGTTGAAAAAAATGATGGCTGAACAGCAAGCCCTCGTCACAACAGTGAGAAATTTGGAGCGTCAAATGGGACAGCTTGCCAGTGCTCAAAACACTAGACCAGTTGGAGCTCTTCCAAGTGACACTGAAGCGAATCCTAGGGCAGCCCTTAATGCTGTATCGTGTAGGAATGGGAGACAACTAGAAGAAGTTCAGTCTAAAAAGAGGAAACAGGTGACTTTTGATGAGAGGCCAACCACTATAGAATCAACATCAGAAAAAGCTAAGGAGCCAGAGAGGCCAGCTGGAGAGGCTGTGGCTGAGCAACCCCCACAATTGGTTGCAAGGCCACCACCTCCATTCCCGCAAAGATTGCAGAAATTAAGAGATAATGTCGCATATAAAAAGTTTCTTGATACCTTAAAGCAGGTGCAAATTAATATTCCATTGGTTGACATCTTACAAGAGGTACCCAAATATACAAAGTACATCAAGGACATTGTGGCAAATAAAAGGAGGCTAACCGAGTTCGAGACTGTGGCACTCACTGAGGAGTGCAGTTCAAGAATTCAGGGCAAGTTACCTCATAAATTGAAGGATCCAGGTAGTTTCACTATCCAAATCTCGATTAGTAAAATTGTTGTTGGGCGAGCTTTATGTGATCTTGGAGCGAGCGTCAATTTAATGCCGCTATCTGTGTTCAGACAGTTGGGGTTGGGTGAGCCGCGCCCAACAGTTATCTTACAGTTAGTTGATCGCTCCCTTGCTTATCCTGAGGGAGTGATTGAAGATGTACTAGTTCAAGTGGGTTCCTTCATATTCCCTACTGATTTCATTATCTTGGATTACGAGCCTGATCAGGAAGTCCCATTTATTTTGGGGCGTCCATTCTTAGCCACGGGCTGAGCTATTATCGATGTCTGCGAAGGAAGGATGACAATGAGAGTGGGTGATCGAGTGGAGGTCTTCAATGTTTATAGAGCACTCAAGTTACCAGCCCACTATGAAGATTTATCCATGATCTATGTGGTGGAGAGTGATGCTACATCGTTAGTGCCCTGTATGAGCCCTGTAGATCCTGTTGAACGAGTATTGATTGGAGATGTAGAAAATAGTGAAGATGAGATGATGGGAGAAATTGAGCGAGTATTGGATATGTCCTGCAATTATGTCCAGGGGTTTAGAAAATTTGAAGAGTTGGATAGGCCTGTCACTCTGACCCTTCCCAGGCCATCTATTGAAGAAGCTCCAAAGCTAGAACTTAAGCCACTTCCAGCGCATCTGCGCTATGCTTATTTGGGGAACTCTGATACATTGCCCGTGATTATTTCGTCCAGCTTGACCAGCACTCAAGAAGAAAATTAGTCTCAGGACGTTAGTCGAGACGATAAAAACGAACGANAATTTAGTATAGCCTAGTAATTGTGAACGGTGCATACCATATGCCTCTTGCTTACCTTATTGTGAATTCGCGTTGCCATGATCAACCATTATTGTGTAGCATGGGGAAGTCTTGAGTACCCATAGCTTTAAGGTGCAACACTTGTACATGGTGGATGAACACTTTTGACATAGTGTCCATTGTGTCCTTTCGGTTTTAAGTGTGCGGTCATTTCATGACTTGCACGTCAACCTTAGGCATATTTCTTGAACCATTCTCACATTTATGCTTAATTGTGTTACAGGATACTATGGCTCGTGATGGCTCTAGCAAAGGCAAAGGCATTGGAAAGTCCCCTACCACTTCTCCTGCGCCCAAAAAGCGCAAGCAGGAAGAAAGCTCTTCACGGCAGTCCAAGGGAAAGCAGGTCGCCGAGGGATCTCAGCAGGCACCATTAAGGCCGAGGCCTCGTTTGGATTTGGTTAATGATGCAGATATTGCTTGGCATAGGGACTTCATGCCATCTGGTCGGTACATTTCTGAGATGGGAATTAACACCACGACCTTAGAAAGAAACTTCCCGGAGATACTTGACAGGTTGCAAGCTTTAAACATGCACAAGTTCTTAGAATGTCCAGGGCCTGCAAACCTGAGCATGGTCCGAGAGCTGTATGCTAATTGGGATTACAAACGGAGCACTTCACGTGTAAGAGGGAAGGATGTGCCGATGGGCAGGAAGTATTTGTGTGACTATTAGGGAGTTGAGAATGTTGATCCAAGGATACTCCAACGCTTTATCACAAGCCCAAAGTATGAGCTGATACATCACACTCTTTGTGGCGTGGATTCCAATGCTAAATGGATAAGGAAGCAGGGCAACAATCACCTCTCTATGGTACGCTCAGACTTCACCAAAGCTGCCAAAGTGTGGCAGAATTTTGTGCAGGCGAGACTAATGCCGGCGGCGCACAGTAGTGACTGCACTCGAGCTAGAGTGTGTCTCATCTTCTTCTTGATGACCGGGCGACCAATTAACGTAGCTGAGATCATGCTCACTGAGATGGCCCGCACGAGGTTTGGGCGACAGATTCGGCGGTTTTTCTTTGGTAATTTACTTACTCAGTATATGCTATCTCGAGGAGTGCCGGAGTACCCCGGACATGATGAGGTGGTGGAGGCTCCGTCTGGGCTTTTGGACATCACATCTGTGGTGGAGACATTGTCAAAACTCACCCCCGCTGCCCGGATGGAGCGAGAAGAAAGCTTCAAGAGGTACATTTATAACTCGTTGAACTTACTGATGAGCAGAGGAGGTATTACAGACGAGGAGCGTATGTATTTACGCAATGATTTGTCTAGCACGTCCAAGGAGATGTTGGGGATTGCACCTGGCAGCCCCGTTCACTCGTCGGAGGACGTCAACACTGTCAAGGGCTCGGACACTGAGGATGAGGATGAGAATGGTGCTACAGGGCCCATGACATTGATGCCTCTCGGACCGGATGATGATGACCCTAGAGCTGCTGGGGGAGTGGACTCTAATTGACAGGGAGTTTTTCTTTTCACCCTACTCTGTTTTTCATTTTTACTTGCATCGAGGGCTATGCATAGTTTAAGTGTGGGGTGGGAGGAATACTACCTGTGCTGTAGTTGTATATTTTGTATCAACTTATTTTTATTTATTTCTTTCAGTAGTTCTAGTGTAGTATTAGTTGCTTTAAAAAAAATTGAAAAAGCTCGGACTTTTCCCAACGATGGATCTTTTGGATAATTTTCTTGAGGGATAAAAGTCCGATTTAAAAAACCAAAAAGATTTTTTTAGAATAGCTAGGTAGTATTCCTTGGTTTTTCTTTGGGCACCGATTCTTTTCGAAGGATGTAGCTCGAACCGGGCACTTTAATCTTTTTAGGAATAGGTTAAGAAGAAACTGAGTCGTTCTAAGATACTCATTGACATGGTTGATGCTGGCACATTAGGCTATGACATACATTCTATTTTTCCGTATATTTGGTTTGAATTTTTAAGCCTAAGTAAAGTAAATAGCCTATTTTGTGACGCCTTCTCTCAGTTGTTTGACTCGTATGCCACATAGTGCAATGTTGCTTAAATATCTCATTTAATTGTGCTTGCTTGACTTGAGAGTTGAACAAAACCATCTTGATTGAGTCATGTGCAACGTGTGTGTGAGGATTTGTGATTTTCTGTGCTATCCTGTGTAGTCTAGAACTTGCCCCATGTGTTAATTGAAGCGAAATTGTAAGTTGTGCTAATCTAGGAGATGACGTAGGCATTTTATTGCTTGATCATGGATGTGCTTGTCACATAAAAATAAAATTTTTCGTTGCTAGCCCCTTTGAGCCTATAGACCTTTCTTTTGGCACCCACATTACAAGCCATACCCCCATTTTGTTCTTAATTTGATATTGATTGAACCTGTACCTCCTAAGGCACTTAGTCGCTAAAAGAAGTAAGGTGAGAGATTGGGGAGTATCTTTTGAGTGGAACCATGGAAGGGCCCGTTGGTGCACTAAAGTTGAAATCAAAAGACACTAGCCGATGAACTTTAATGTATGGAGTGTGTGAAGAAAAAAGAGAAAGAAAAAGAAAAATTGAAAGAAAAGGAAAAAAAATAATAATGAAAGGATGTAGAAAAATAAACACCTCCAATTCTTATTGATTTGTGCTAGTGAAAAATAGATAAGTGCTTAATTGGAAAGAGGGCTATGTTTTATATGGCAAGTGATTTGGTTGAGAAGAATATGAGTTTGAATTATAAATGTAGTGTATTAAAGTGCTTAGGAGGGTTAGTCACTAATTCTAAATATATCCTACCCGTCCCTTAGCCTACATTACAACCTTAAAAGTCCTAATTGATCCTAGATTTGGCTAGCTTAAATTAGTAGAGATATACACTACGGGCAANCCATTTACCCTCATTCATTTTTTTCCACACTAAATTTATCCCTTCAACCACCATTAGCCACCATTACCGCTACCATGAAAAATATTATATTTCAAATTTTAATCTTTTATATATGGATTAGAGGTGTTGAGGTGGCATGCCATGTGGCATCCACCTCATCAAATATCAGTGACACGTAGGATTGGACGTCCACCTTGGACAAACTTAACAGAAGAGGGGTATATTTAAACCAATAGTATTACGGCAGGGATATATTTGGACCTAAAATATAACGAAGATTATATTTATAACCTTTTCTCATAGTACAAGGATATATTTGGCCATGTGCCGTTTTATTTTTTAAATGTCCAAATGATGTTTAGCTTAAAGCATATATATATTTTTATATATATCTCCTCATATTTTACTTTTGTTTTGTGAATTTGGGATGTTAAATGCTATGAGTTATATTAATTTGAAGTGTTTTTACTTGTAGGAATGATTCAGGAGCAATTGGGGGCGAAAAACGCAAGATTTGAGCTAAAACGAACAAAACCGGAAAAAAAATGCCATTAGGGCGCCTGGTGCTAGCCAGGGCGCTGGTGAGGTGAATTTTCTCCAATTTCGCCCGGGATAAGGTTATTTCGGCCCTAGACCTATCCAACACGTATAAAAGGAAGACTAAGCCTATTTTTGGGAGGAGAGACGCCACTTTGGAGTAAATCACACACGGGATCGTGAGGAAGCGGAGAATTCTCAGTTTTCTTCATCTTTTTCTAGTATTTTCAATTGATTCAACACTTATGCAATTATTTGATTACATCATGAGTGGCTAAACACCCATTGTTCTGGGGTTGTGATTTAGCCATGAATATTGTTGTTTGATATTAGCTTGACCTTGATTATAATCCACCAATATATGGTTGTTTCTTCAATTCTGTGATTAATTGCTTAATTATCTGGCCAACAGTTAGGTTCTATTTACTATCTATGCTATGCTTGGGAAAACCGTGTTTAGATTAGAGAAGAATTGAAGAGAGCATGATCTTAACCCTTAGGGGGAGCGGATTTGTGGTTAGGATAGGAATATACCTAGTCACCGTGCTTAATTAAATATCGTAATCTTAATGCGTTCTTAATAGATTGATTTCATAGGAATATAAGCGTTAATCTATTTTGAATAGGCGAGTAGTACTTCGGGAGAAGGCTATGAGATAATTTATCGATTAATTAGCAACCATGAGTGAATTGTATGAGAGGGAGAGTTAACTAGAACACAATAGGATTGGTGAATCGATCACAACCCTGGAATACTTGTCTCTACTGAATACACAACAATCAATTCGCTACTTGATAATTTAGTTATTATTTAGAATCGTAGTATAATATAATCATATTATTGGACTTTGATTTTAGCTGGATTGAATAACAATTTTAGTGATTTAGTGAGTAGTTTACACAAGTCTCTGTGGGTTCGACACTCAACTTATCATTATATTATTTGTCGACCACGTATACTTGCGTGTGCGTTGGAAGCAACAAGTATTAACTCACTTTTCAATAAAAAACGTATCAATGTCTTAAGAAAAGTACTACTGTATTTGTAAACTACGTGTGTTCCC